AGTGCTGTGCAGTTTGTTTACCGTCTTCCTTGCAGCCATCCTACATCTCCAATCCTTCCAGATGACATTTATTTTTCCGGTCTGCACCCACCTGATGAATCCTTGACACTCCAGGAACAGATGGCGTGCTGGCCGGGACGTTTGCCAGCTCAGGTGTTCCGTGTTGTAAAACAGGCAGCTCCAGAGTCGCACTCGTCTTCAGCAGAGCCTCGTAGAGCCAGAGCGCTACACCCATGTGGTGCATCATGGCACCGACTCAATAACTGATTTCTAACTACTCCCTGCTTCACCGCCAAGAGAAGCTGAAACATGACTGGCACAAAAATAGATCTATTTACCTGAAAGCTCATCTTTCTTTTTGTTCTGAATACCAAGGACTACATTGATAGCTGAGTCATCTGCATGGTTCTTCTGGCATTTACCAGTATCAATTTAGTACAGAGATGAAATGGGGCCAAATATTTGAACAGCATGTTTGCTTGATGTCACTAGAACCACTTAAAGACATCAGAAGAAGGGTTACGTTTCATTTCATATTTCAACTCACATAATTAAAGGCAACTCGGTAAAAATCTCAAGAGAAGTTTTCAGTAGGTCGCTTAATTTGACATATTCCGTAATAATCTTTGGTGTTGGAACGTGAAGAATGAAGCACAGATATTCACTGGTTTCCTGTTAGCAAGCAGATGGAGGCACAGGAATAAGAAGAAAATGCATTTTAGTGCAGAGTAAATATAGTTTGGGGAGTCAAAAAAAATCTGATAAAAGTTAAATATGAGAAAAAACAATAACAGTTTAGGGCCTGTTGGAAAAACTATTTAAGTTTTTTTTGTTTTTGGGTGTCTTTTTTATGATGGAGTATTAGGGCCATAATAAGAAACACTAACATCCTCTATGAAAATCAGCATGCATGTTTCAGACTGCATTAGCAAAAACAAAATCTATGTGACAAGAACATACAAATTCCAGAAGGAAGTTAAGGAAAGCTTGTTCCAATTGAAAAACACAAAAACAAAATGTGTTGCATCAGTGAATATCTTTACTTCTGGTAAAAGGTCAAAGTAAAGAAACTTATAATACAGAAAGAGCAGAGGGAGACGACAGGAAGTGAACAGATAAGACACAACAAATCACAGCAGACAGAGGAACCTTTTTTTATAAAAGTAGAGAAAGGAAGACCAAAATAAGACGGGCCACCTGAGAACTGCTGATGGAAAAGGAGAAAGGGGAGAAAAACTAAAGAGAATGGTTTTCCAACATGGATCCTGTCCAAGGAAAATGGTTCAGATTGATGAAGGAAGAAAAAGAGACAGAAGATGGACCACAGAAAGTCCAAAGAAAACAGATGCTGGGATCAGTGAGAACTGGGGAATTCTGAGCAAACGTTAAACAAATATGAAACTTAAGAAGAATTGAATAAGATAAAGATAGAAATGATTGGTAAAGTTTGAAAAAAAAAATACCCTGAACAAACTCATAATGAAAATATGTTCTTTGCAATAGTTTTAAGATTCTGCCAAAATACAAAGCCTCCATAAGTCAATAAGAACGAGATGGGAATCGAAACATTTAAAACAATAAGATCACTTCCCCAAACATACAAAGAGTTCAATCATAATGTGGAGGCATTTAAGGAAAAAAAGTTTGAGAACAACTGGGCTGTTGTCCACATCTGGCGGTTTTATTCTTATCCAATTCTAAACATTGTGTTTTCACCAACAGAATAAAAGGACTAACGCTCATTAATTATTGTTTTCATTAAATTTTCTACTCTCACTCTGTATCCTGCCTGCTGGCCCACCACCACATACCTCATGACAGCAGGATATTCAGGAAATCATCTCTTACAAAAGGAAAAATAGTTGCATGAAATTTAATATAAACTCTCCTCAGTTGTTTGAGCCCAGACCTGAGCCGCTTGGTTATTTAGCTTAGATTGTTATTAGCATTATTTATTCTGCCTGTATGACATCTGTGTTTTTGGGTGCAGGGTTTTTTGAGCTGATATTGGATTACTTTTGATGACACACTGCATACTCAGTGAAAACAGAGAAAAGTTTCACTGTGGACAAAAATCGATTGTGACAGTTTCACAATTTGTTCTGACACTGTGTGGGTACATTAAATAGCTACTGACTGTCATGGAAGTGATGGAGGCTTAGCAGTAATGGTGCAGAGGAAGAAGCCAAACAAACAGGGAAACTCACTGCAGGGCTCTGTCCTAAATAATGTAGCAGAGAGTAGGTGGAAGCAACTAAGCACTGAGGTGCTATTAAAGCCCAGAGACAAAGTATTTTAGGCTTAGTGCAATAAACAAAAACAGTAGCATTCTAACCAGAACCACCAGGGGGGAGGATTTTACCCATAAGTCATCAGAGCCCAAAGCGGTCTGCTGTTTAACAGTTTTATAAATTTAAGACCAGAATAACACTTGACAAGAAAAAACTAAATATCTGTGGATATTTATTGTATATCATTTGTTTTCAGGTTGAAACAAAAATACTTTAACACAACATTCACACAGAAATGACACTTAAAACAGCAGAACAGTAAATGGTCTTGATTTGAATGATAGTATTTAAGGGGATTTATTTCAGTAATGATGGATGCTTCATGACATCTGTATTGATTTCTAACTGAAAGACTAATAAAATCTTTGAAAAGTTTTCATAGTGAATGAAACAAGGATCCACAACAAACAGTGTGGTTCTACAAACTGCAGGGTGACGCACTTCACTCACTGTGCATAGTCAAGTAATCTATCAATTATTCTGCCAATTAATCAAGTAAATGAATAAAAGAACTTGATATAATATAGCTAAATCCTGCCATATCATGACGTATCGACATCGGCACACATTTTCATGACTTTACTGTACCTCAGAAAATATACCTGTAATAATAATACCTGACTTCTTAAGTCAACCTGGACAAAAATTATACAAACATTTAAAATATATTCAATTTAATTTTAAAAAAAAAAAAAAAACAGGCTGACAGAGACACTTTTTTTTTTTTTTACATTATATAAACTATCACCCTGCTGGTTAAAAACGATAAAAACTTGTTTAGGAAGAAGAGGATGTTTGCTCCCCCTTTCTTCTGCTGAGAGCTGTTAATGTTTTGGTGTCTGGAAAATTAGACGTTTCATAAGCACCAGAAGACAATGTCACAAATCAGCATCAGCCAGTTTTACCTCTGTATGTGCGGTACAATGGTTGCTGGAAAAAAAAAAAAGTATTTTGTTGATTTGTCATCCAGAAACCACTTGCTGCATTCTTGTTGGTTGTGCAGGAGGATCTAGTGATGCTTTTCAACAAGTATGGTTGTATAATTGCCCATGTAGCCGGTTCCATCCGACTCATCTGTTGTTTGTACTCTGCGTTGTGTGTGTAGGTGAAGAAAGAAACCAGCAGTCGAGGACCCACGGTGTGTTGTAGCAGGAAGGCGGGTTTATTCTGTTCAAAATAAAAATGCATTTGGCACAGCAGTTCCCGGGCTCCGGCCTCCCCACACAGACCTTAACCAACCAAAAGAACAAAAATAAAAGTGTTTGCATGGTAAACTCGATAATTGTCTTTAATGTGGGAATTAAATACCCAATAATGTGCTGCGCTACACATAAAACAATTTAACAACAAAATATAACAAGTTGTGAGCTCAGTGAACATACTTTTAAGAACATTTCGAATATTTTAACACTTAAACAGAAGGCAACTTCATACGCTTACCTCTCCCCAGCGCAGCTCGGGGCGAACTGAGGAGAGCAGCGGGAACACACAGGATATGACGCCAAACAGGAAGCAAGAAAATAAAAGCGTCACCACCAAAATAAAATTCAGAAACTAAGAAAAACAAATATACATAAATAGTGAAGATGGATTTGAGGTGAAATATACACCTTTTTTGACAGACTTGCTACACGCATCTGTTAGCAGCCGTTTTCAAGTAAGTGTAAACGTTGAGTTTGGTGGCGTGGCCAGCAGCTTATTTAGATTTAAATTGACAGAGACCCTAAGACAGCTCTTTCTTAAAGAAGTGAGACACTGAATGAAATAAAAATGAATCCTCAATGTTAGGTCAAGACCCTGAGAAGTTACTTTTAAGAAAGCCAAAAAAGCAGGAGGTAAAAATGACGTCTCAGGGATTCTAAGTTTCTTGCACAGAAACAAGTAAAGTTGTGCCACAGAAAAGAATGTATGGACTTTATTAAGTCAAATATTCATGTAAAATGAATGCATTTATTGTTTATTACTTTCTCTGCAACAGCAGACTGAGGCCCAAACATCCACACAGAGTTAACGATAACGATTTGAACATAAAGTCAGGAGCAGAAAGCGACACCCATACAGAGGTGTAGTTCATGTTCTGAGGACTGTCATTATAACTGCAGTAGGGGCTGTAAAATAGCAATTTATAGGGAGATTAAGTTTCACCCATAAAACTGGTTATTCCTTCACAGTAGTAGCTGACGTGTAAAACTTCATGTTCAGCACTGCTTTATTAAAGCATTAAAGTCTGTTACCTGTCGAATAGTAAACTGATTGTTTTCTGTTCAGAATGCATTTACCTTGATGTCCACCAGAAGAAAGTATGTCAATGAGTTTTGCAGTCTTATAATTTATTTAATAACTTTTCTACAACCAGCTTCTTCAGTGCCTGTTTTTTTTTTTTTTCATTTTCATGTACACTGTAATCCCAAACAGTTGTACTAGCGCATAACTAATAAGGTCACAAGAGTCAAATGTCGTTAAGGAGTTGACCAAACTATAAAATGTTGAGCTCAGTTGAGATTTATGCCACTTTAATTGAGTAGGGCTCAATATTTTAGAGCTAATTTGTGTGGAACGCTCAAAAGTTTTAGGAACCATAGTGTGACATTATCAACGTTATCACGTTCTGGTGGGTGGGTCTCATCTCTCCCTCAGGTAAGATGAGTCAGCCATCTTGAATTTGCCTTGATGCGAGAACTTTTGGCCAGTCTGTCCCCTCTGAGCTTCCTTCTTGATCTCCAAGAGCAGCTGATCTGCGGACCTGAGAGACCGATAGGGCATGTAGGGGTGAAGAAGCTCAGAGAGGTAAGCCGGGGCAAGATTATGCAGTGATTTAAAAACAAACATAAGAATTTTAAAATTAATCCTAAAATATACAGGCAGCCAGTGAAGTGAGGCCAGGACAGGGGTCACATGTTCCCTCTTTCGAGTTCCTGTCCTAAGTGGTGCAGCAGCATCTGAACCAGCTGCAGACGTGAGAGCAGCGACTGACTGACTCCTAGATATAGTGAGTTACAGTAATCCAGTCGAGTCAAAATAAAAGCGTGGATCACTGTTTCAAAATGCTGCTTGGAAAGAAAAGATTTCACTGACGCCAAATGATAAAAGCTGGACTTAACCACGGCTCTGATTTGGCTGTCCAATTTAAAATCACTGTCCACCTTAAAACCAAGACCTGTAATAACAGGTTTAAAATAAACCTCCAAAGGTCCCAGGTCCACAGAGGAGGACTCACAGGAGCCACTGGCTCCAAACACCATCACCTCTGTTTTGTTTTCATTAAAATTTAAAAAGTTCAAGGCCAAACAAGCTTTAATATCACCTGGACATGCCAGGAGATATTTGTACATCCTTCTGCTTCGGGGGCAAATAACTCTGACAATCATCAGCGTAACAATGAAATGAAATCCCATGTTTCCTGAGGACAGAACCCAGAGGCAGTAAATACAAAGAGAAAAGCAGTGGGCCCAGAATTGAGCCCTGTGGGACACCATAAGGCATTGAAGCAGCAGATGATTCAGAGTCACTAATTTTGACTGAAATTGTTCTCTCCTCCAGGTAAGACCTGAACCATTTAAGAACAGTGCCACCAATACCTACAACGTGGTGTAATCGCGATATTAAAATGTGGTGGTCTACTGTATCAAAGGCAGCAGTTAGGTCAAGTAAAATCAGAACAACATGGTGACCAGAATCACATGCAAGAAGGACGTCATTAAAAACTCTTATTAAAGCAGATTCTGTGCTATGAAGAGTTTTAAAACCTGACTGGAAAACCTCCAGAATGCCATTGTCATCTAAAAACTGTTTCAGCTGACGGTACACAAGTTTTTCTAAATCCTTAGAAAGAAAAGGCAGCTTCGAAATAGGCCGATAGTTAGCCAGAACAGTTTGATCAAGGCCAGGTTTTTTAAGCAGTGGCTGTACTACTACATGTTTAAAAGTAGCAGGGACCACACCTGAGGACAGATTGCTATTTATAATTGAATGAACAGGCTGCCCTATGCTAGATAAAATATCTTTAAAAAATCTTTTTCCCTCTCATTCAAAGTTTACAAACTTGACTAGGCCATCATCTCTCCACTCCAGTTCAGGTGAAAGCTCTCTCTGCCGCCCTTAACCCTTGTGTTTACAAATGGAGTCCAACCGACCCCACACCCATATAATTGTATCATTTGCCTCATTCCTCTTACGTTTGCCTCGGTCCTCGCACGCACCAGGGTTAAGCATCACCCTGACAGGGAGTTTGTCGACTTTCTCATTAACGGTTTCACTCACGGTTTCCACCCGGGCATAGACATTATCCCAGATTCCACTTGTCAATGTCACAATCTTCAAACCGCTTTTTCAGATCCCGACATAGTTGACTCCCTAACTTGCTAAGAAAGTGAAAGAAGGATTCATGATAGGTCCTTCTTCTAAGCCACCCTATCCCGTTTTTCACGTCAACCCCATTGGTATTGCTACACTTAAATATTCAGGCAAGAAAAGGCTAATTATAGATCTGTCAGCTCCTCACGGTTCTCACGTTCCCAGTATAAACAGCATCATTCCATTTCCTGATTTCTCCATGCAATATGCAACCATCGACCATGCCATTAAACTCATTCATTTAGCAGGGCAAGGCACCTGGGTCTCTAAAGCAGATATCACCAGTGCATTCAAAGTTCTTCCCATTCGCCCCAATTTCTGGCGTTACTTCAGCGTAGTTTGGAAAGGAGCTTTTTACTTTGCTGTCTGCCTCACATTCGGCTGTCGCAGTAGCCCCAACATTTTCGATTCCCTATCAGAAGCCCTGTGTTGTATCCTTATCAATACTTCCAAGCTCCCCTATGTGATACACCTTCTGGACGACTTCCTTCCCCTTCATCTTCTCCTCCTCGTCTCGGGTTTAAGTGCTCTAACCAAAGTTTTCTCTCAGCTTGGCGTTTCCCTTTCCGAGGAGAAAACCATCGGTTCCGGCACCTCTTTAGAGTTCCTAGGTATGACTCTTGATTCTTCATCCTTCCAAGCGTCCTTACCATCTGAAAAAATCAATCGAATAACTTTAATGCCTTCAAACTTCCTACTCACTGACAGATGTTCTAAACAGCTGCTTTCTCTTCTCGGCCATCTGAACTACGCTATTCGCATAATTCCGCAGGGCAAATCCTTCATTTCTCATCTATCAACAGCAGCCAGCATCTCTTCTCTTCTCTTCAAGGTTCGCTTGTCATCGATTAGGGGTTGAACGACTACAAATTTTTTAAGGTCGACTACATCATGATAATGGTCGAGTCGATGTCGACTAGTCGCAGTGATGTCATAGTGACGTAAGCGCAAAAACCCTTCACAACTACTTGGAGGCTTTATCTGCTATTTTCACGGCAAGTATGGACCCTCCCCCCCCACACACACACACACTCCCCTTCTCCTGCTTTTACTAAGTCTATTATGCAGAATTAAAAGAGCAATAAACAGATGATTCTTCGTGAGCAGCGGAGAAAAGTTGGTTTCACAAAGTCGGGTCTGACTTTTTTTTTTTTTTTTCCAAACACCGGCTGATGCTGATGATCTCTGGGTAGCTGCTCGTATAGGAGGCAAATTATCACACTGACCACTGGTGCTTTTGGAACATCACAAACTAAACTTATTATGAATGGATCCCGTTTGGTTACAGTTGAATTTAACGAAACCTCCTGCTGCTCCTCCTGCTGCTCCTCCACCCGATGCGCAGCATGATCTCTGCTGACTCAGCAGCGGCTCTCTGAACCGACATGCAGACCGAGATCGCCTCTATCAGATCCTCAGACTTAGTTTCCAGATGTAGTCCAACCATAACTTTATAAGAGCGTAAAGATCTTATAAAGATCTTTACGCTCTTTAGAAGCGTAAAGCTCT